TCTAGCTTGGTGATGTGTCTTCATGACCGCCAGTCTGCCCACCAAGACTCGGTTGACAATGGCGCCGCCATGTCCGAGGTGACGGTGCTGTTATCCTTGGGAGACATGAACTCACTACTCAGCTTCCATGAGACTTTATGGAGACCGAAGGGCTCCAGGCAAGCGTGAAACACATAATACAGTCATGAGACGTCCATCTTTGATGCGCTGGACATGATACTGATGAATCTTGGGACCTGGAAGACCTCTGGAAGAAATCTTACATGTACTCGGAAAGGTGCAGTCCAATAACAAATGGCTATTATTATAACTATAGTTTTTAAAGGAGTGGACCGGTGAGCCAGCCGAAGGCCCCAGTCAGGTCAAAAGCTCCGGCTCCAGACTCGCGTCAGGAAACACTTGTCCTGTTTCCGGACAGACCTTACCCATCATAAATCCATTAGTCAATATGAAAAAAAAATCCTTCGACTCTTCAGTACTTGCTATTTACAGTGAAATAGGAGGAATGATCAGTCGGCTTTCTAGATTCACTGCATGGCGTCTGTGAGTCCTCTGCGCTTTCTAGATTCGCTAGATGGTGTCCGTGAGTCCTCGACCGACCCTCACCATTCAAAAGAACATGGTGGAACAAAGATTTTCCTTGTTTAACTCACAAGGTTGCGGAGGCTTTGAGTCCAATAATGATTGAAACTCAGTGAGGTTAACGAGTGCACAACAAATCTAAACATGCATTAATATTTTCCCCCCTAACACAGCCTTCAAACTTATTTAGAAAGATTTTTTTGTTCCCGAAGAAACCTACAAATATGCTGATGATACATTTCCGGCCAGCCACTATTGTAGGCCTGCTGACCCTGCCAATTTCTACGAGTAACATCACCGACGAGAAGACCGGTGGAGAGGAGAGGTCCCCTTCTCTTTGGGTAACACTGACCCACAAAACAAAAGTTTCGACAATGACATTGCTTTCCGGAGGACTTGTGTTGCCGCTGCCTACTCTTTTGTGTGCTGTAACTGTTATTTCAGTGTATAATCCTACCAACGTATAGTGAGCAGGATGATGCTTGTTCAAATGTGACGTTCCATTATCACATTTGCTTATTAGATATGTATTAGTGTTATATAGCTCTATTCTTACATATCCAAATAAATGTTTCCCGTGTTTAACTGTCTCTGCCAGCTGCTACAGTGACAGTTTTCTTAGTCTACACTAGATATAAAGTACCTTTTCTGCCCTGCACTGCTTAACAGGATGTGAACCTTGAATATAAACAGATCTGTTCCTTGGGGCTAGGATTATTAAGAAAACGTACGTAAAATGCCCAGCGTCTTGGCTAATAAAAGGTTTAATCCTGTCACCTAAAGCAACTAAAACCCGTTTGAGGCGCCCGAGGGGGATGGGATGACCTGGAGCAAGGACACCGCGAGAACCTGGGAGGGAAGAACTAGCACAATTTGTAGCTGTTTTGGCAGTGGGTGATCCTCAGCTGATAGCAGGAGAGCTGCAGCTCCAGGCTGTAAAGTCTACGGTGATGACACCGCGCCCTTTTCTGGGGATGGGGGATAAGTAAATGATGAGGAAGCAGAGGAGTTGATTATTCCGCTCACGTCCACAACAAGTATCTGTGATTGGAGGAGACCGAGAGAGGGAAAAAAATGTTAGTGACAAGAAATGACAACTGACTGAATCATGTCATTTATAAGTAGACGAGATAAAGGTGATTTTTCACAGTGACAGATTTTAATTAACACCATGTTCTTACAAGTTCATCTTTTATGTTTTCCGGTCACAAAGAAATGAAAAAAAATGTTCCAAGTGAATGGTTTTACTGCATTAAATGAAGCGATATCATAATAACAGAGACTTAAGAAACATTATCCCGTGTTCTTACGTCGCCACCTAGTGAAGGTATGATTCAGTTTCTCTCTCATGTTTATTTTTCCACTGAGCACAATTAATGTGTAGCATTACTAACCTTATGTTTGCGGCTCGGTCTGTGTGTGTGTCGCACTATCTCCACATTATCATCTCATTATCACCGTCACCATCACGCCGTCACTACATTATCAACCCATCACCACAACATCACCATCTCACCACCAACATACCATCAGTACACCATCAATACAACACTATCACCAATTCATTATCACCTACACATCATCACCACCATGCTGCATCGACGCACCATCACACCACCGTCATTCTGCACCAACACACCATCACAAATATACCAGACAATAACTGCACCATAACCACTATACCAGGACATATCTGAACCATCACCAGTATACTAGGCCATAACTGAACCATCACCACTATACTAGGCCATAACTGAACCATCACCACTATAGGTCATAACTGAACCATCACCACCATACCAGGTCATAACTGAACCATCACAACTATACTAGGCCATAACTGAACCATCACCACTATACTAGGCCATAACTGAACCATCACCACTATACTAGGCCATAACTGAACCATCACCACTATACCAGACCATAACTGAGCCATCACCACTATACCAGGCCATAACTGAACCATCACCACTATACTTGGCCATAACTAAACCATCACCACTATACCTAGCCATAACTGAACCATCACCACTATACTTGGCCATAACTGAACCATTACCACTATACCAGGTCATAACTGAACCATCACCACTATACCAGGCCATAACTGCTCCATCACCACTATATCACACCATTACTATCACCACACCATCGTTACCATGTTATACCATATCACCATCACACCATCGCTAAAACCACTACACCTAAACGTGATCACTACACCATCACCACCACATTATCACATCACCATACCACTCCATCAGCCCCATACCATCACCATACCTCACTTTCACGCCACACCAATACCATCACTATATCACACCACTACACTATTATCAACGCACCATCTCCTATACACCACTAACACATTTTCATCACCATACTATCACCAATACTCCATCGCAACCACAACACACTATCACTACAACAGAACATCACACCAACACACTATCACCCCCACATCACCAATAGTCACATACTTGAGGTGCAGTAAGTCTAATCCGTATCACAATGGATTACAATGCACAACGTACAAGTCGGTAGGCTCCTGCTGCTGCTGTAGCTGCGGTTACTTAGACTCCCCAACCCTGCTGCTGCGGTTGTTTGCTGCTGTTGCTGTAGCTGCTGCTGCTACCATATCTGTCTCGACCCCCCTCCCTGCTGCTCCAGCTGCGGTTGCTTTTGTTGTTGCCATTGTAAGTGTTGCTGTAGCTGCTACTGCTGTTGTAGCTGCTGCTCCTGTTGTTTTTTGTCTCCACCCCACCCTGCTACTGTTGCTGATGCTGCTGTTGCAGTTGTTACTCCTGCTCTCACTGCTACTTCTGCTATTGTTTTACTGCTCTTTCTTCCGTAACTCTTGTTGCTGTTGCTGCTGTTCTTTTGTCAGCTGCTGTTGTTTTTGCTTGGGTTGCCGCCTAGACCCTATGTTACCGATTCTATTTTGTTGCTGCTACAGCTGCTTCTGATGCTGTTACTTCTGATGTTGATTGCTGTAAATGGTGCTGCTGCTATTGTTCTTGTTACTGCTGCTGTTCCTGGTAGTTGGGGCACTGGTGTAGTTGATGCAGGCTTTGCAACTGCTGCTGCTGTTATTCCTACTGCTGGAGTTACTACTGTTACATCAGCCCCACCATGCTGCAACTGCTGCTTCAACCGTACCCTGCTGCTACCGCTGCCTCGGCCCCACCCTGCTTCTGCCTTGGCTCCACCCTGCTGCTGCTGTCGTCTCGCCGCACCCTGCTGCTGCTGCTGTTGTCTCGCCCCACCCTGCTGCTGCCTTGGCCTCACTCTGCTGCTGCTTTGACCCCACCCTGCTGCTACCTGGACCCCACCCTACTGCTGCTGCTGCACTCGACTCCACCCTGCTGCTGCCTCGGCTCCATCTGGCTACTGCTGCTGTTGTTGTTGCCTCAGCCCCTACACTGCTGCTGGTGCCTCGGCTACCACCTTGTTGCTGTTGCTGCCTCGACCCCACCTAGCTGCTGCTAGTGGTATTGCTATTTTTTCTTCTGCTGGTGGTGCTGCTTCTATTAGAACTTCTACTGTTGCTAGTGTTACTACTGCTGTTACTGCAGTTGATGTTGTTGATGATGATAGTGGTGTTAGTGTTGCTACAGCTTTCACTCTGAGACTAAATAGGCTGACCTAGGCTCTCCCTATCACCACTGTTGTCACTGCTGACCTAATAACTGCATAGTTTCCCAGATGACATTTTCCTTCAGTGCTAAACCTCAGTGGTTCTACAGGACAAAAGGCGATGTTTGTGACCCTCAACGATTTGTGAAGGTAAACACACATACTGTCACCGGAAATGAGGCCATGAAAGGGTTTGTGTAAACTCTTGCGCCGAAAGGGACAGAAGAAGCGGTTGCCCTCTCGTCAAATTATCGTGAACAAAAATCACTTCCTTGGCTTTGATCATCAACAATGCGGGTTGAGGGAGCGCACGTGGCCAGCCTAACCTTTCGGCTGCAGGTGCGGGGGTTCTGAGGTACGCTAGCGGCTGCAGGAAGTACCTGGCAGGAACTAAGGCCGTCCGGGCCTCGAAGTCAGGTTCCGGGAACCATACCCGTCCCGCACCCGCTGTCACCGTCCCCGTTGCCACCTTGACGGACCTTGAGGGACCCCGCGAGACGAAGGCGCCTCTCTCTCCTCGCTACTAGCACAATTTATGAAGACTTTTGTTGTGAAATGCACTATTTTTGCCGTGTATCATTGGTTAGCGAAAAATGCAGCTATTGGCGGAAGGGGTAGTTGAAGTGTGCGAGGATTGGTTGGTAGCGAGAAGCAGCCACGCCTCATGCGAGGGGTGGAGCCATCATGGCCCCACCCCATGACCCGCTGACCCGTCCTTCTCTGCGCATGCGTCGCCACCTGCACACTTGTGAATGATAGCAAAAGTGAGCGGGTGGGGACGGAGTGGCAGGCGCGCCATTCCGCGTGAAATGAGCCGTTAGTCAGAACGGTACCATCGTGGTGAACACACGTGTTGCCCGGAGCACCTCGCCCAGGCTCTCCGTCGCCGCCACCGCCCTCCACACACCCGCGAAAGTGATATTTCCACATTGTTGGCCGGCCAGTTTTTGCGTGCGTCCGTGTGGCAGTGCTGGCGGACCAACGCCTCACTCCGTCCCCGCCCGGGCCCGCAGCACCACCTCAGCCTCTCCGACTCCGTCTAGTCAGCCTGGTGGTGCCCGGCCGAGGGTACTGCCTTCGGCACCCCCCTCCCCTCCCCCCACTTAGGTCTAGCGGTGACGTCACACAGCACCGTGCCCTGTACTATGACACAGGTGCCTAACTCTGATTACTCAGTGTCAGACTTGAAGTAGAGAGAAGTAGAGGGTGTGCCCTCCTAGTGTTTAAGACATGTGTAATAGTGACAATTGCAGGATACTTACCAGTGCCTCGCTTGTGTTTACCTCCGGACAGTGTACTACTCCATATATAGCAACCCACAGGATCATCTCCGTCCAACTTCGTGTATTATAAAGTGACTCGAGGTGCAGTTTGCTCTTCAGAAAGTAACGCCAGCGCTCAGACCAGTATGAAGGATTTAGTTTACCTCAAGACGACGTCTCTGTAAATGAAGCTCAACACACGTTCCACTGCGACTGCCAATGTGCTGCTTGTTGCGTGCCTCCATGCTCCTTGTTGAAGGTAAGGCCAGAACCACCTCGCGACCACGTCTTACAGAAGGATTAAACACTGAGTGGTGTTCCTTTCTCAGTGTATGTATACACTGAGGGGTATCTTTTAGTGTATATACACAGAGATGAGTATCTCTTTGAATGTAAACTGAGGGGTGTATTTCTCTTAATCTGCAAATACAGTGAGATATATATCTTTTAGTATACCTACTGTATACTGAGATAGTTCTCTCTCAGTGCACACTGTATACTGAGCTATTTCTTTCAGTGTACATGCTCTAAAAGCTTGTATTTCTTAATGTATATATACTGAGAGGTATGCACTCTTAATGATATATGCTGAGAAAGGTGCACTTTATTGTCTATAAACTGGGAGTCTGCCTCATTACTAATATTTAGGATTAAAGTATCCTTGATTTTAGTGTACAAGTGAATTGCAGCCTTAGCGAACTACGTTCACTCGAAAGACTGACCTTAATAAACCAACTCAGCTGTCTTCTGCGCCACATCTTTGGCCCAAGATGCCAACGAGCGCTCTTCACCAAATGCTGGTTCTGCAAAATTTATATTCTGTGTTTTGTTGGGAGCGTCTAGAGATGGGGTGTAGCCATTACACAAACTTGGCCAACGTGACCATTAAGCGTGACCAAACAGCGTGCAGAAGCTGTCATTTCCAGATGATGATCACTGTGGCGGAAGTTAGCTATTTGTACACTGTACTTAAAACATGGTTTAGCCACATAACAAGCCATTGGAGCTCGTTTATATGCCTAGAGAGGAAAATAGAATGAATTATAGAGGATTTTGACAGTTCCACTTCAAGACTTAGATCCACAGTACCACAAAGCTTCCTCGTCACCACTACTCGTGTGTTTAGTGCCGACTAGAGGTTACAATTAGATAGCCTAAGTTCCAGTGAGAACCCTGAGCTGTGGATTATATTATGTGGACCATTCAGGGTAAAGAGTGTTGGAGGCTCGAACCTCCGTCTGTTATTAGCAACATAGAGACTACTCTCGAAGCTCAAGCTTTTTTCTTCGAATAAGGGAGAAATGTGTAATGGATCATCTTGTTTTTTCATTGCTAGCATCAACATAGCTGGGCCAAGATTTTCCTTCAACACTATCAAAGCTCATCATAGTTCACCCCCCTTTATATGATCACTCCCAGTGTAATGGCAATTACCAGAGGTTATATTTACAATTCCATAAGTTACATTGACAGAACACAGTATAACTACTGTGAGTCTGCAAACTCATTATACTTCATAGGGGATACCCTGATGTAAGGCTGAAAGTATTGACATTCTAAGAACTAGAACAATCAGTGGTGAGGACCATCCATGATGAAATAGACAAACTTTTGCAACACAGACTTGGTTAATTAGGCTGGTTTATTAGGCTTAAAGTTTATTGATTATTCGGCCTTTAAGGCTGCACGTACACTGTACACCACTCAAGGATGCTTTAATTCCTCTCAGTGTATATATATACTGAAAGATACACACCCTTAGTCCACATACACTAGGAGATACACCTCTCTGTGTATATAACTGCACAAAATTACTATCCTCATTATAACCCTAAATTTTCTTAATTAGAACTGCAGTTATTTGATGCAGTGAACGATGAATAAATTGATAATGATTGTGTTTACATGATTTCATTCTTTATTTAATCTATAAACAAAAACTAACCATGGGACATACGACTTTTTCACGTAATTGTGATGTAAAAAAATATAAAGAAGTTATATTACGAATTTTGGTTACTGTGTTATCTCCGAAATGTAGTTGTAGAAGACGTAATAAGTGAACATGTGTGTTGCTGGTGAGCGAAACGTTTGTGCACAGTTAACGTCAATATATGGATAAGTATAAGGAATTCTCTTATAATGTTGAAGATACATGACATAAACTATGTATTTTAGTGTGAGAAAGACCTACCTAGCATAGACCAGTAGACCCACTGCTGTGCTACGATATCCATTGTCAGTAAAGCTAAAGATTCTTGTAGTTATAATTTGGTTTTCTAAATTTCTCTAGAATAAAGTAACTTAGTATTCATAAGGGTCTTAACGTGTTATTGCTAAGTTTGTTAGTCATTCACCACAAGGAAAGCTGGGAGCTCGATCCTCCGTCCGATAATCGTGAGACATCAACTTTATTTTCCAAGCCAAGCTTGAAAGCCTGGCTTTGAGAATGTATTTGTGTCTTAAGACTTGCAAGGAAACCAATAGACAAAAAAAAATGCTTTAGTTAAATGCACTGAGGTTTGTTGTCTAGTTTATATGAACTTAACAAAAGATGAGCACCGTAGCAGGCCTACTAGCCCATGCAAATCAAGTCCTACTCATGTACTGGTCTCGGTTACATTCGTTTAGTGCTACAGGTAATTTAGTCGTTCAGTGCAGGCAAACCTTATTTTGGAGCATTAGTTCTAGTCTAATTTCAGTACGAGACGCCAAGCTTGGCTAAATGAAGACCCTATATTTTTCGATCTAAGATAGCCATGAAATCACCAAAACATAACTCTGCTGGATACACATGGTATTCTCTGCCGTCTTCCAAGTCGGAGTAGGTGTAAGAGTGGCTCCAGGCACTTGTTAAACAAACGCCTTTTTTACGTGCCAGTTCTTAAACCGATCGAAAGCAGCCAAGTGTGAAGCGAACTGTCTGGCGTAACCCCTTCTTATTGTGTTTTCAGGGCCATGAATAATTTGCAGCACGTCATTTTAAGCCAGGTAATCTGGTATGGAAAGACTGGGTTTAAATCCTCTGAAATTTTGATCTGTGTGTTTTTTTTTTTAAGGGAAAGTTACAAGCAGTATCGGCTATCACGTTAATGTGCTTTGGTTTATGGATATTCTGCCCTTTTAACTCTGATGTGTACTGATATATTGATTATGCTGCTGAATGAGGAATATATGAGTGTAAATGAACTTTAATTAAGGAAACTAGCTACCCAAATCAAATCAACTTTGGAAATTAATTTTCCTATATATTCATAGTGTGGGTGTTGTGTTTAAGCTCAGACTCAGGATACATCGTACAAACACCACAATAAACGAATGGTCCATCATACGCTTGGTCGACACTCGGTGCTAACAATAAACAATATGCATTAATACAGTGTAATTTAAAGGAGATTTGGGTCAATTTATCAGAAACTCACTAAGCAGAACCACTACACGGCACGCGCCAACCCACCTATCAGTACACAGGTTATGTACACTGAGTAGAGTCCCTCATCGAGAGATTAGTACTACAAGTCCTGTTTTAGGATTCAGAGTATCCTTAATCTTAGTGTGTAGGCGAATTGCAGCCTTAATGACCCACATGCAGTCGACGGACATTTAACCTAACAAAATAACCATCATTTAGTGCACATCTGAGCATTACGACGGGGCATACTTATCAGATATTTAGCCATGGGCTAAGTCTTGCAGTATAATGTGTCTTATGCATGAACCATTATTTGCTTTATCATCGAGTCTTGAATAACGACAAAAATTCCTCAGAATCTGAACTTTAACCAGGTTCATCTCCAAATCTGAGTATTTTATATTGAACAGGAGTGGATACATATATTTCAATGCTGTTGATGTGAATATGTTCAGAAATATAATTTATGATCAACTATTTGTATTTCCTTTACCTAATCTATACTTTTTTTATTACTGAGATTTACTTAGGTATGTTATGACAGCTATTTCCCAATGTAGTTTAAGCACATTCAAAAGCTAAAAGTCGAAACCAGCACAGGTAAGAACTCGAAATAAAGAGGATCGTTACTGTAGCAGGCGTTTAAATCCTTTCTAATCCAAGACTAGTAGAATCTCAGGAGTTAAAATTCTGTCGACTCTTTTTGCATGTTCCTGGTATTCTTTTTTCATAACCTAATATCCTAAAGTATATCGTGCAATGTGAACATTGCACTCGCTACGTACACTAGATCGGTATTTAATGAGAAGAAAAGTCTTCAGTGCATTTACCTCTCGGTACACTCAACCATTAAAAACAAAGAATACTGTATAACCCTTGAATTAAACGTAGTACACCTGGCAAATATAAAGTTTAGATTGTACATGTAGACTCATCAAGGCCAAAGTTTATATAAAAGAGCAGCGAGAAATATTCGAACCTCCGGAACATAAATTGGGAGTGCGTGTTGTGGGCCAACGATGCCTGGGGGTAAGCACGGCTGCAACACTTTTCATATATCTTAGTCATGTTCCAGCTTTTATCTCCATGCTGTTATTCACCTTAGTTCTAGAGCGCGTCGAATTAATTGAAATTTCACCATCTCTACTGAATATTGTGATAGCCATTGAGGTGCCTGACCCATGGTGCTGCAGAATCACTGCCTGTTGACATCCATCTCATCCCCTTGACGAGGAAAAAAGTCAATGGCATGCTATTTGCCACTAGATTGAACCGGTAACCGTAGCAGAACTTTCTTGCGGTCAAGTATTCCTCTCGGATATCTTCTTTTATTGACATTTTGATTGTGATTTCTTATTTTTTTTCTTTGAGTCTTCCCTTTAAGGATGGGCTCTTGATTCAGTGAATTGGAGCTACCTTTAACTTAGAGCAAACACCTGACCTTCCATTACACATTGATCCATTGAAAATAATGATTCTAATGTTTCGACTAAATCATCTCTACCTTGTAATCTTATCATAAATGTTTACACAATAGATTTAATAACTCATTAATATATGAAAACTTTCAGTGTGATGTAGACATATTTTATCCTTCGTGAATTTTCATAATATTGATAATAAACACACAACACACACACACATATAATATATATAAATAATATTATATATATATATATATATATAATATATATATATATTATATATATATATATATTACATTTTAGAGTCCTAATTAAAGTTGGGTATAAAATATAATTCATGAAGGTAAAGAGAAAGCAGTGTTGGAAGGGACGTGTGAAGGTTGACCTGACCTCACTACCACCATTATTATCATCATTATCACT